GTCCTCCAAAACAATAAAGGGCAAATAGGTAGCGAGGTGGTACAGTGGATAGAGTGTTGGGCCTGAAGTGAGGAAGACCAGAGCTCAAGTCTGCCCTCAGATACCTACTAGCTGTGTGACCTTGGGAAAGTCACTATTTGCCTCAGCTTCCTCATCTGTAAAATGAACTGGAAAAGGAAATGTCAAAACTACTCCAGTATCTTTGCCAAGAAAACCCCAAAGGGGTCACAAAGAGTCAGATATGATGGGACAATAAGGACAACTCTATATGATCCCTTCACCTTCTTCTAGGCTGACTTTAGCTTGTCAATATCACTCTTACACTGCGGCAACCAGAATTGAACGTAACACTACAGGTATGATTTGATCAGTATTAAGCTAAATAACAATGCTATAAATTCTTATATTTTAGACTCAAGGTTATTACTACTGTCTAAGATCATACTGAGAAGTGGCAGAATCTAGTGGATAGACAAACAGCCTTGGAGTCAGAAAGACCTGGGTTCAAGTTCAACTTCTTACACATACTAGCTTAACAATGGCCCTTAGGGGCAGCTAGATGGCAGTGGATAGAGCACTAGCCCTGGATTCAGGAAGACCTGAATTCAAATCCAGCCTCAGACACTTGACGCTCACTAGCTGTGTGACCCTGAGAAGTCACTTAACCCCACTGCCTAGCCAAAAAATAAAAATAAATAAAAAATCAAAAAACCAATGGCCCTTAACAAGTCACTTAATCTCTCAGTACTACTCTCAGTAATTTTCTCAATCTATAAATTGCTAAGCAAATGCTGATGTGCATTGGTAGAGGGAGTTCTTCACAGAGAGCTTCTACACCAATGAAAAATCACAGATCCATTAAAAAAAGATACAAGTTATTCAGTGAAACATTTTTACAACATTATTTTAAAACCTTAGTTTATTTAGAATGGGGAGAGAAAAACCCTACCCAATGTTATTTTCAAAGGTACATACAAAACAGTCAAAACAAATTTGTAAGAATTTGAAAAAAAATTCTTTAGCACACCAAGCATGTCTACGATAAGCATTTGTAATTTTATATCCAGAAAACTCATTTTTAGCAGGTAAAATTTTACTCAAAATTCCATTTTCTTTTTCAGCTTGTCAACAAGAGTCACAAAACAAGGCCCCTGTCAGTACCAATTAAATTTGCTCAGGTGTAAATATTATTTTAAAAAATGTACATTTTCACACAGTAGTAATTTTTAATAAAATCTTGATAGTAACCACCTTCCCCAAGTGAAAAGAAAAAGCTAAATAGTACCCACTCATTTTCCAAATTGTCTAATCCCAAATCAAATGAATCCACAATCTTTCACTGATTCAAAAATAAATGCCAAGTTCTGACATAAGATGCAATGAAACATGTTTTCTTTCACTAAGGTGACAGACCACTTACTGCACATACTCCAAGATATTAAAGAAATTTTAAACTACATGAGAATATTATGGAAGAAAGACATTTGGGGAAGACATACATTTTTTATTAATCAACAAGCAATTATTAAGCATCTACTATGCACTAGGTATTAAGGATACAAAGGAAAAAGTCAAATAGTCAAAAGTCTCCAAGTTTACATTCCATCAAGAGACAAAAAGTCCCTTTCAATTCTTTACCTATTTATTACGTGTGTGTGTGTATGTGTGTGTGTGTGTGTGTGTGTGTGCACACGTGCTATTGTTGTTTTTCCTTAGCTGTCAAAGAGGACCATGATATCAGGATGATGATGCCATGACTTGTAAATGAATGGGATTTAAGTAAGGTAGGGCTGTGTAAGGTCACCAGCCTCACTTTCTCCTACAGAGCCATCTGGGTCCAGCTGCAAGGTACAGATCAGGACAACTGGAGATGGCCCCCCTGTGTGTGCATGCACTACATAAATATAAGGTAATTTGAAGGAAGGGCAGAAGATACTAACAGCTGTGATGATCAGGAAAGGCTTCATGCATAATATGAACTGAGCCTTGAGAGAAACTAGGGATTCTAACAGATGAGGAGAGAATACTTTCTAGGCAAAAGGCAAAGACATAGAGAAGGGAGATAGAATGTGGTATATGAAGAACAGTAAGGTTAGTTTGGTGGGGCAGTAGAAGGGGAGTCACATGTGATAATACTGGAAAAATAGAATGGCTACAGGTCATGAAGAGCTTTAAATGCCAATTAGAGGACTTTATTTTTTATCCCAGAAGTAACAGGAAGAGTTTGAGTAGTGGAGTGATGTGATCAAAACCTGTGCTTTAGGAAAACCATGTTGGTCTCTGTGGCAGATAGACTGGAGTGAAGAGAGACTTCAGACAAGAAAACCAATTAGGAGGTGATGGCACTAATTCAGGACAGAAGTGATAAGGGCATAAGCTAGAGTGGCTATATGAGTGGAAAGAAAGTAAAGGATATGAGATATGTTATAGAGGCAAAAAAATTTGGCAATCTACTGGATATGTGGTATGAAAAAGGACAGAGTAGAGGATGACACCAAGGTTTCAAATCTGGCTGAATATAAGGACAGTGGTGTCCTTAACAAAAAACAAAACAAAACAAAAAAAAAGTCCTGAAAAGGTGTATGTTGTGGGGGAGTGGAGAGGATGGATAATGAGTTCCATTTTGGACTTGATAAGTATGAGAGGCCAACAGTAGCAAGGGCTGGATATGTAGATCTGGGAGTTATTTGAAAATGGGAGCTGATGATGTCGCCAAGTGAGAGACTAGAGAGAAGAGGACCCAGGCTAATTCTTAAGAAATACCCACAGTTAAGAGAGCATGATATGAATGATCATCCAGTAAAAGAGACTGGGAATAAGCAGTCACATAGGTAGGAGAAAAAAAGAGAAAGCAGTGGCAGGAAAACACAGACAGGAGAGTATCCAGGAGAGAGTGGTTAAAGGGTCAATTACCAAAGAGAGGTCACAAAAGGTGAACACTGAGCAAAGGCCATCAGATTTGACAACAGATCATTTATAAGTTTGTGGAGGGAGTCCACTCATGATTATCTGAGGACCCAAAACCCAAACTTAAGATTACGGTATTTTTTGGAAACTTATCCCACATGTCATATCCTCCCAGGTAGCTTGAGGCCATAGTAAAGCAGGGAAGCAATCCTAACCCAGTTACTGAGAATGACCATATAGCATTTGAGAATCAAAGACTTCTGACAAGTGGTACACACCTCACATTAAGATTTCCCATTACGAAGCTTTAGCATGCCCAAACTTGTTCTGGGATACAGATCTGCACTCACAGTAAGTTTCCTAATTCCATAATAGTGAAGAACAACTCCTCAACTTCCAGCCAAACGAGTGGATTATGTATCAATCATCTCTGACAACGTTTCCCTCTATTAATATGGACAATTACGAGTTGACAGCATCCTTATTTTCAGCATGCTATCATACCTATTATTTAACTAATGATATTCCTGTGATTAAAATAATGGGCAAGTATTATCCTCATTTTACATATAAAGAAATGCACTTAAGCAAGGTCCAATAAGAAGCACAATAAGGTTTTAACTCAGGTAATCTTACAATGCATGAGAACTGGTGATCTAGTCATTGGAATTCTCAGCATCTTATGCATTTTTTTAAAAGTCTCAAATGGAGTCATGGGTAGTTTTAAAATATTCACATGCATTTTGTAAGGGGCTGAAAATCCTTATTTTACAGAGCAAGGGAGGCAAAGGATTAAATAGTTGTCACACACCAGGAATATGGATGGTTCCCAGTTCTTTCAGCTTATCTCGTTAGCTTAAATCCCTTTTACTGTCTTTACTTAGAAGCAAAAAAAGAATAAAAGGACAGAGTGTTTGTGACCAATTTGCCACCCCTAAAAAAAAAGCAAATATAAAATTACTGGGATAGTCATTTAAATAGAACAGAACAGTTTCACATCACCTTAGAATCAAACTATTTTCCCTAAATAAAATGATTTATCACTACATTTTCCAAAATGACACTAGAAAGCATATGACTTAACAGAGAACACTATTTATCTTTTCTCCTTTCTAGCGTTAAAAAAACGGGGAGGGGGGGTTGCTACTCACACGTGACACCAGAGACAAAAAAAAAAATTTAACAGGCATATAGCAATGAAAATCCTTTGCAACAAGAAAACATTTACAATATATTAAAAACCCAGGGATTCATTTTCCTGTTACCAACATTATGAAACATCCCATTAAGTCACAACAAAGGAAGGGAAAGAGGGTATATAAGCGTTAGGATCATAATCTATGGATCAGGAGGGAACAAAGACTCCTTTCATGAAGAAAAGGGAACCAAGTTGCTCAGAAAACTCTCTCAGTCAGGATAACTGATTAGTGTTCCTTCGTTCGGGAGGTTAAGGAGAATCATTTGGTCAAAATAACCCCCACTCAAAAAAAATAAAAAACAACCCGAGGAAGAGGGAGCCAGCTCTGGCAGCCCTCCTTTGGCAGGGCCTTGCCCCTCCCGTTCCAGCCTCTTCCCAAAGCTGGGAGCAGCTCTCCCACCGCACCCCAGCCCTTTCTTTCCACGCAGGCGCCCCCTTCCACAAGCCCGTGGTCCGAACAATACCACGGCCCCCCTTACATAAGAGGTGCAGAGCCGAGGCGCGGCAGGGCCACCCAATACCGTGCTACGAACCGGCACCGGCGCATCATCTCTAGGTGATGCCCCGGGCCTCAGCCGCTGCCCAGCCCCGGCCGTGGCGGAGGAACGACGGGCAGCTCACGCGCCTCCGTCCTTCCTCCGGCTCAGCGCGATCCGCACCCCGACCCCTCCCGGGAGGGCACCGGGGTCCAGGCGGGATGGGGGAGGGGTCGGCCCCCGCCCTCCTCAGCCCCCCCCCAGTCTCTGCCCCGGGAAGCTCCCAGGCGGTTCACCCCCAGCCCCAGGCGCCGGGCCCTCTGACAGGTGGTGACCAAGGGAACCAGATGCGGACGCCTGGCCCGGCCCGGCCCCGCCCCCGCCTCGCCTCCCTTCTCCCCTCCCCAAGGGTCACTCACCTGAGGGCTCCGGCGTGAGCCCAGGGACGCAGCAGAAGAAAAAGCCGGGCCGGCGGGACTGATGCAGAGTGCGGGGGACCGAGGTCCGTCCGTCCGTCCGTCCGTCCCTCGGTCGTTCGGTCGGTCAGGCAGGCAGGCGGTCCCTCCCCCGGCCCCGCGGCGGCGGCTCCCGCACAGCCTCTCCCGGACTGCAGTTGTCAAGTGGGGCTCGAGCCAAAGAGCTCCAGCCAATCACGACGCCCCTCTGAGCCCGTCAGGACCCCACCAATCCGGGCGGCCAGGCCGCTGCCTGAGCCGAGGGCAGAGACTGGAATCCTGATGGGGAGAAGGGAGGGGCGGCGGGAGGAGGGAGGGGCGGGGAGGGGAAGGATGGGGAGGAGAAGGGGGAGGGGAGAGAGAGGCGGTCAGCCCTCCCAGTCTCTTGGCCCTGGGGGTTCCCTGGGTCGTCACTGTCTCCGAAGCCTTAAGTGGTGAAGTCACTTGCTCCTTTGGGGACATTAAACAATATGAACTTCCCCCAGGCTGAGAGGCTGTCTGTCTCTTCTGCCCATCCTGTGAAGCCCAGCTCAAGTACCTCCTCCTCTGAGAAGTCTTCCAGGACATTTCCAAACCTCCCCCAATCTTTCCCTTTCCAGATGCCATTGGTATTCGTTGTCTGTCTGTCCCTTAAAGATTGTCACACAGATTACACCGCCATGCACACCAATCTAACAACAAATAGTGAATGGCCTCATGGAAAGAAAGAGAGAAAGGAAGATAGATCTGGGTTCAAAGCTTGCCCTGCCAATAGTGGACTGGACAATATTTAACAACCAGCTCCCATAAAAAAAACTTTTTAAAGTTTAACCTGCGTTATTAACATATCCTCCATCTCTTAAGTCTAGACAGTCAACAAAACAATACATCAATACCTAATTTGGTAGTGTTTGCTGATTTCTGAGGTATAACTCTTCACATTGAAAATTTCATAATCAGCTCTTGGAGTCATTTGAGATGACTCCTCATACAAACTGTCTGTATCACTCTGGGCAAGTTATTTAACCATCCAGTGTTGTCTAGGCAATTCTTTAAGAATATAATAAATTATAGACAAGGTGTCTACTGGTATGTTCAGAAATTCTCTATATAAAAGAAATCACAGATCTAGTTACTACCGTATTATGAACCAGGCACTGTGCTAGGAAAAGGGTTACAAATTGAAAAAATCAAATAATCCCTGCCCTCCAGATACTGTTATTATCATTACACAAGTCTTTTCATATTTTTTCTGAAATCTGTCACATTCCTCATTTCTTAAGGTGCAATGAAGTCCCACTGCATTTTTATAACACAATTTGTTCTATTGCTGCCCAATTGATGAGCACACATTTTGTTTCCAATTTTTTGCCACAACAAAATGTCTTGCTATAAACAGATCAGTCCTTCCCATCTGATTTAGAGCTAGAAGGGATTGAAACATTTACAAAGGTCACAGGGGATGAGAAAGCCTAGAAAGCAGTCCTCACTGATTGATGTAACATCCATGTGGTTGAGATCTCAGACACATTGAACCAGTAATAGCTCACATTTATACAGCACTCCAAGGTTCACAAAGGTTACACATGATTGGTTGTATTTTGGTCCAAAGAAGAAGCATTGCTTTTCTCACTGAACCCTTCCCTAAAAATAGCTCCAAACATTGCTAACATACACACTTTTTTATTGGGTAAATGCCCCCTTGCCAAAGGGCTCATAGCATTGCTTAAGTAATTAAAAGTAAATTATAATTGTATCCTACACACAAGCCTTCATAATGGCATCATTATGTTGATAATATTGCTATTATAACAGCTCCATTTAGATTCCCACTCAGTTCATAAATTTTATTTTGTTTGCACTGGCCGTAAATATAATGATAATAGTACCTTACACTTGTTTTGGGTTTTACAGTTTTCAAAGGACTTTCATCAACTCTATTGCTTTCCATGAGATGGAGTACTGCCAGACTTTATCATCTTCTCTGCCATGGCATCCTAAGATTCTCCAAATCTTACCATCTGCCTCTCCTTCAAACCAGTCTCCTACTCCCCTCACTTTTCTTCCCCCTTCTTGGCTTCTTTTTATGTGTTATGTTCCACTATTAGATTGTGAGCTCCTTAAGGAGAGGTACTATCTTATATAAACCTTTCTTTGTATCCCCAGTGCTTAACACAGTACCTGATTGAGTACCTAATATGTAATTCAGTATATTGTAATATATGCATGAGGAGTTGCAAAAGAAAGGGAGAATATAATTTCATTGTACATAGTATTAGCTAATGTTATCATCTCTATAACTATTGTATAATATATTGCTATATAATATGCTAATATTATTATGTACTTGATGACATCATTATATTATAGTGTATTATAGAATTGTAATATATGTTTTATAATATTATTATCATAATCTATATAACTAATATCCCTTGTGAGTCTGTGATTTTTTTCTGAAGTAGACACTTAATGATCAGCCTATTTTAGCATCCAGTTGTGAAGAAACTTGAATAATTTAAGTTTAATTTTACAAATTAAAAGTAATTCCCAGTCCTGAAATGAGCCAAAAGGAACCTTACAAGAAGAAATATTTAAAAAAAAAAAACAGTGCTAAATAAGAAAACTTCAGGTCACTTCAAGAAAGGAAGAAAATATGAACTGAGATCAAGCGAAGGAGTGAGCAACTTTAATCCTTTCCCAGGGAAGACATCTATTTATCCACGTGACTAATGCTAAACATTTTTTTTTCATATATAATAGGGCTTATTTTCTCATGTCATAGGGCTCTGGAACATGTGCATATTGTTATGAATGAAAAGCCTGAAAGACAGAGTTTCTGAGTAATTAATAATCAATTTATTCATTAGGCTAGCAATAATTGACAAATTGACGGTCAGTGATCTCTCTCAGGAAGCAAAGACAAAACCATGGAGATCTCTGAATGCTTAAATACCTTTGGAAAAGGAGGTGCCCTTGACAGGTAAAAATCAACCTTGATTGGTGAGTAATTAATGAGAGGGTGGGCTAAAAGTCTTCAGCTCCTCCTACTGAGAATGTGACTTGATCCATGAAATTCAGCTACCCCCAGCAAACTGGATGGAGGAATCCATCTCTACCCAGACCACTCAGGGTTTTTTTTTCCTTTCATAAGCTGGGTCACCCTAAATTCTAATAGAGGGTTCCAAGGACAAGGGGCCCATTTCCTTGGGGCTGCCCAAGATCAAGGAGCATGTACCCCAAGGATTTGGGCAATCTCATCTATCAGCAACAACCCTCAGAGACTGACTGAATGTGGTCCCTAAGTGAGGAAATAAAAAGGAAAAACCTCAATCCTAGTTCAATAGTTGGTTATAAATAGAAAAATAATCATTTCTCTCGATATGTAATTAGTTTGCTAAGGTGGCATCATCCATGTGAAGGATGCTAGGAAGCTAATTCTGGAAGAATGGTGGTGGTAGGAGATTGTGTGAACATTTTGCAACTGACTCCATTTGGAGTCATGGTTGAGAGTCCAGCTGTGTCACTAGAACTGCTGGTATCTTTAAAAGGGCCCGAGTCAGCGCCAGCCACAGCTTTAGCTGCATTTGTATCTGAGGGAGCATAGTGGCGCTGTCAACAGACTGTGATGAGAGAGTCGTGCTGTAAGGGGAAGTACGAGAATTATAGGTCCCTTCCCTTAAGCCTCAGGTCATATGGGCCCCAGGGTACCCCTGAGGGGTTGCAGGGAAGAGTGTGAATATGACAGGCCTGAGAGAGTGGGGCCAACATCAACCAGGCAACATTTATACATTTATTATGTTTTACCAATTCTAAGTCAGGGAAGAAAACAGTCCACCAACTCTATTCCCTAATAGAGACATTGTTGAGAAATCACAGGCAGAATGTACAACTTGATGTTGTATTCAAATTGTTCTCCAAAATTGTCCTTCATTTTCAAAAAGGACCAATGACATCATGGATATGACTGATTGATTCTGTGGGTGAACTGGATTTAAGTAAAGCAGAGTTGCACACAGTCAGGCAGCCTCACCCTCACTTCCAGAGTTATTGAAATCAAGTGGCAAAACCAAGTCAGAACAACTGGCGATGGATTGGGATGCAATGGATGACCTTGGCTCGTTGATGTCTGACCAAGCTCTAAGCACCCCACGTCTCCAGGTGCAGCTGCCTTCATGGCCATTGGAACAAGTTGTTCTCATCCACCCATTCTGCTGGGGGAAGTCTTCACATCCTCGGGGTAGACATCCCCCTAACTCAATGATAGGTTTGAGGCCCATCAAATACCCTCAACCTGGTTTAGCCTGTCAAGGAGACTGTTTATCAGCATGAGGCCAATGCGCATCCTACAGATTGGAACCACAGGGGAGAAGGGAGTGCCAGGTAGACTCCAAAGGTGGATGAGCAGCTCTGAAAAGGGCTGGCAAGCCCTCACACCAAAGGTAAGAAATACTTTAATCTGAAAGAATAGAAAGGCGTATTACCTAGTGTAAAGGAGGGGATTTGACACTCTCACCTCAATCATTCAACAGACATGATTAGGTTCTTTAAAAAATGCACATACAATATTGTTTTCACCTTGGGATCCCTCTGATAGATGCAAACTCCTCCTTAGTTGTGTCCAGAGGAATGTGATTGGCTATCTAAACAAACTAACCGAGATGCTGGGGGCTTAAAATAGAGAAAGTTCAGCAGTAAGGCCAGTCAAGTAGTGAACTCCAGGCTCATGAGTGCCTTGAGTAAGCAGATCCTCGCGCCTGTACCACAGAGCATCAAGGAAGTGGACATAGCGACCAAAGAGGCAGGGTCTCACACACACACACTACCCTTCCTTCCATTGACCGTGTTATTGAAAAGACTGGACTAGTTGGAGAAAACGCATCAAACTGAGAACAGGCACAAAAATACTGAGGAGAACATGGACACATTTTGATACAGATGGATACAAAAATTTAACCATCCAAGGGAGGAAGCATCCAAGGAATGTGACTCCTTACACCAGAAAGGAATGCCAGAAATGGACTCAAAAAGGACTCCTAGAAACCAACATTTGTGAGTTTGCCCTGTAGGCACACGTATTCTCTACACTCTCTCATTAACATGTGTGTACTTGTGGGGGAGACTGCCCCAGACTTTGGGGGAGATGTTTTGCACCGACTGTT